TTCCTTTTACTAATAAAGGGCCAACTCTTTTCAAAAGTCTCAATTATAGCCCGAATTGAGTGAAGATTTTAATCTTCTTCTAATTTTCCATACTTTAGCCAGTATTGAGTAAAGTTTTGATATACCAGTTGGAATCAAGTTTATTAAAACTTTCAATACTTTTTTTTAATAAATTTTTTAAGGAATTTTTGGGAAATTTCTGGGAATTTTCTTTTTTAACTTACTTTTCTTTCTCTAAATTTAATAAATAAAAATTTTTTTAAGGAATTCATTTCAAAATTTAAATTTTACTTGAAAAAATTAGGGGAATTTTTTAAGACATTTTAAGACTTTTTTAAATTTAAATTTTAAATTTTAAATTTTACTTTAAAACACTTTTTAAATTTTAAAACATTTCAGTTTTACTTAATTACTTTTTAATTATTACTTTTTAATTTGCAATTTTCACAAAAATGTTTTTCACTTAACGTTATTATTTGCATTATTTACGCAATTTTGCAACAGAACACACATTTAACATTACAAACAAGTTTATATTTATTAATTCCCAATAACCACTTAACTCTACTTTACTTGAATTAGAGTACTCTTTTTATGATATTTGCAGAGCAAACTTACATCTCTTGATTGGCTCAGCTACTAAACTCCTTACCATAAATAGTTGGTCAGTTAAAATTAAAACTTGAGTTACATACTTTTAGGATATTCTTTGATTTTTTCTAGATTTATATTATTTAAATTTTTTTAATTAAAGTTTACAAAATTTTTAATAAAACAAAAATAGCAGCTTGGCACTCAACTTTACTTACATAAGCGCCATCTATATAATTTGCAGAACACAGTTACTTCACTTAGGAAATACTTTTGCAGACCCCAACGCTAATATGGTAGGTAAGTTAGAATTAAAACTTACTATTTACTTTTAAGTATTTTTTAAGTATTTTTTATGTAGTATTTAAGTATTTTCTAGATATGTAATTATATTTTTAAGTATATATTTGTTTTTTTATAAATTATGAATTAGTCCTTTTAGTTTCTTATTGGTTTAAATAAATTATGTCTAGTTCATTTTTAGTTTCTTTTTGATTGATATGCATATTCGTGTCGGGGAGGTTTCTGTAGACAAAAGTTTCTAAAATGCATTGGTTTCTAAATTAATTTTTCTGGAAAATTTAGTTTTTAAAAAAATTGAATTTAATACTAGACTTTACATTGCTAATTTCTCAAAATATTTCATTATTGGTATTTTCCTTTTAGACCTTTAATTTTTAATTGCTAATTTCTCAGGTACCACTTTATTGGTATTTCTTTTTGGACATTCTTCACTAGGTATTTACTTTTGGTTTTGACTTTTACTCTTGCCTGCATGAATGACGAAACACGAATTGAATGATTGAAGAGTTAGGTTTGGAGACAACTTCCCCTTGATAAGTCTGTCTCCTGCCTGCTCAAATGTCATTCACTTATGCATTTTGAAAAAAATTTTTAGATTAATTTTAATTTGCTAAATTGGTGAATTTATTTTCATAGTTTGTTTCTGCTCTTGATTTACTTATGCTATCTGAATTTAAATGATATTGTAGATTAGTTCGGAAACTAAATCTTTTATATATTTGAAAATTTTTTAATTATTTTAACTTTAAATTAGCTTTTTTTTTTTACGTATATACATGTTTGTTAAAATTTAAATTTCCTTCCTTGCAGCAATGGCGCAAAGAATTAATTAAATTTGTATTTAAATTCAATTTATTCTTTTGAAACAATTATAATTATTAATATATATATTTTTTATTTATCTGTATATTGTGTATATGTGTTGCCATGTATATATTTTGTTTGTACTCTTCTTCCAGTGCCTTGTATGCGCATCTATATTTCGTTTTGAATTTAATAAAATTCTGCTCTGCCGAGGCGGCCCAGGGCTGCAGCCTGGCAGCTAGTGGTTAATTCCCCATGGGTTGATAACCAATTCTGCATGGATATATCAAGTATGCCTGGGTCGGAAGCTAACTCAGCGGTTTACCTCCCCTAACCACTATACAGTCTGGGCGACTACCATGTAAGTCTTAATAATTTAATTGGAAAAGATAATCAAATTTAAATTATGATAGTATTTAACAGAGACTGGTTTTTATTAGTTATTATTTAGTTTCAATGCTATTTAATTAGAATTATGTGCTTTAATGTACTTCATGCAATGAGATTTTACTTACTTTTTTAATATTTGTGGTCATCATTCATGATTATTCGTATTCATCTTTCATATTTCATTTATTTCGTTACCACTACATTAATAAATTATTACAACAGTATTATCTTAAGCGGTTTTATCATTTTATTTTATATATATACAAATATAATTTCCGTGTGTTCGACATACCAGGTGATGCGCCAAAAAGGCCACAATCCAATCTAAGAACAGCCCAGCTTTATAGGCGTGGAAAATATCTTTTTCCTTTTAGGCGTGAGAGACACCGCATCAAGCGTTTTCTCCCATTTCTCGACATAAAATTTAGAAGTATTCTATGAATTTCCGACAATAATTCCTGATACAAGGTTGTTCTCCTCCTTGAACCGATCCAACCAACCATCACAGCAAAAACGTTAATGTTTCCGATGTGCTGGGCCAAGTTGGCCTTTGTTTGCAGCAGCGTTTCCGAAATGCCGGTTTGTGACCCCGCACTGGTTTATAAAGCAAAATGCAGGGTCATAGTTTAACAAATTTCTAAACTTACGTAAAGTTCAGTATCACGTGTCTTCATAGATGACACATGATACTGAAACTTTTAATTTAGTACTTTTAATTTAGGCTTATTAATTTATTTCTTAGCTTAGTTCCTATTTTAATGCTATCATCATTGCCACCAAAAATTGATTAAGTTTGACTGGAGTACGGCAGCAGACCCAGCCAATGCTTTTGTAAGAGAGCGACGATACTGAATCTAGAATAGAGCTATAAAACATTGCTAAGGTTTCACTGCTATATTCCAGTCAACCTTTGGTGACGACCCAGCTTTATTCGCATTGTCAGTAATTATTTGCCAGATATTACGTATATATTTTATAATTATTTACTATTGATTATATCATTATATTACATTTAATTATCAATGGATAAACAACAGTAAAAATTGGGTTGGTTATAACAAATGAACAATCAAATAATGTCCAGGCAAGAACAATTTTTGTTGACGACTATTAAAATGTCAAGAGACATTCAGCCATGCACATTTTCCGAGAATGGGGACATTAACAAATGGCTGTATGAGGTATTGTCTATTACACATACAAAAAAGAAGGAAACATTCTTAATTCAATAGTATTCTGTTGATTATATAAAATTTGGTTTCGTGAAAAGTGCCATTAAAAAAAATCATTGTATGTTGTTTGTTATATGACCTTATTAAATGAGCCTAAGAGACCTTCAAAGTTGAAACTGCGCTAGGAATTAAAACATCCGAATTATAATAATAAGCATATAGATTTCTTTATAAATGAAAGAAAAAAAAAAGAGTAGATAGCTAACAAAAAGATGATGCCTTTGAATTTTACTCAGAGGATTTTGTATGAAAATTTAATTATAACTTTTTATCAGATATCCTAGTTTAATTGCTGAAAACTGGATATTCTTATAATAGCTACGGAAAATTTAATAGTTCTGAAGTGGAAATGGTGGCATCCTGTACAATATGTTGAAAAACAGCGAAATTGGATAAAAGTCTTCTTCCAATAATACAGAAAAGAATGGAATCGTGAAAATAGCACATGATATCGAAGAAACTGTTGCAGTTCGTTTATAACAGTGCAAAGGTTTTCCTTTTCAAGACGCTGAAACTAAAAACACATCGAGCAATGATACTTTAATGTGCTTTGTGAGATATGATTTTGAGAAAACACCTAATAAAGAATTTCTATTTTGCAAACCATTAAACACAGGAACCACAACAGAATAAATTTTCAACTTGATCTATACTTATATCAGTCGAAATGACATATTGACTTGAAAAATGGATTGGGACTGAGCAGTGATAGTGCTCGCGCAGTGACAGGCGTCCGTGCAGGACTTTTTCCAAAACTAAAGGTCGTTGGATTAAAATGTCATTGCAACATACACAGAGAAGTCCTAGCCATGAAAAGTTACTATTGCCAAGTGCTCTGCAAACGTGATGAAATTTATGAATTTTACAAAACATCGTATCTTGAATTTTAGGTTATTTAGTGCATTATGTAAACAGATGGGTAGTGAACATGAACATCTTCTTTTACATTGCGAAGTACGAAGGTTATCCAGATAGAATATTTTGAAGAGACTTTTAAAATAAGAGAAGAAGTTTCTTTTTAATCCAGCATCCTCCAACGGGTAAAGATGCAATATTTAAATTTAAAGATAGTTTGTAGGTTTCTCACTTTTATCGTGTTAAATGTAATGTCGAAGAACCTAGTGAACTGATAAGCGAATAATCGCTTAAGTCCAAGAACAGAAACGTAAACTTCAAGAAAGGTTAATTATCCTTTATTTGCTCAAAATAAAGATTTTAAAAGTCGGTTCCTTTCTCAGGGGGTACAGAAAAGCCTCCACTTGGGCTTAAACTCAAAATATAAGAAATAAGAACTAACTAATGACTAACTAAAGAGATTTAGTCGAAGCTAACACAGTTCTAAACTAGTTGGCCCGTGATATTAAATTAGCCAGCAAAGGTATCAAAAGGCAAGTAATACGGCCGAGCGGAATAACAGCTTAGAGAAATGTATCCCAAAGGCAAACGCGCGCTATTCCGGAATCCTAACTCTCTGTGGCGCAGTGAAACTTGACTTAAATACTATTCTACTTCTCATCTGCATTTAACGCGATACTAAAAACTCATTCTGGTAGGGAGTTGTAAGTTGAAGCTGGGAAGGATAGAAAAGAGGCATAAACTTACAATAACTGTTATAAAATTAAAATATACCTTAGAAGTTTTAGTGAACTTATAAGGTATTTCTCCCGCCTTCTTGCCAGTGCCTTCGTGGTGTGGTGGTCTGCACGCAGGGCTCATACTCCAGAGGTCCAAGGTTCGATTCCTGGCGAAGGCGTTGTTCATTTTTCTCATCTCCTGCTTCCAAAAATGCCTAATGTCTCTACAGTGGCCACCGAACTAAAACGGTAATGGATGATAAATCTTCACACCCAGGATTTGGCGATGGGTCCCCTAAAACCCCAATCACCCTTTAAATGGAGGAGTATGTAAGGTATTTCTCCCGCCTTCTTGGCCCTGCCTTCGTGGTATGGTGGTCTGCAAGGCTGGGCGCGTGTTCCAGAGGTCCACGGTTCGATTCCCGGCGAAGGCGGTTGCTCATTTTTCAATCTCTCTTCCTTCCAAAAATCCTAATGTTTCCACAAACTTAATTCGCTGATGAAGTTTCCTTATGTTTGTGACATTTTTTATTTTTTTAAATAACTTAAATCTTACGTTACAAAGCAGCAAGGTAACTAACTGTATTTAACATGTACGAAAAGATAGAAGATGCAATTAAAAAGCTCTGTTTGTAGACCTTTCGTAGAAAAGCAGGAAATTACAATGTTTTCATGAAGCTAACTGAGGTGCAAAAAGAATGTAATATTAATTCCATGTCTGATGAAATTTCATTTTCTATCAAGGAAGATCTGACAGGATAGCAGAGAAATCACAAAGAATGTTTTCCTCCAATTTATAACAATAAAACATGGATAAAAAGGCCCCTTCACAAACAATATAGTAGCATCATAGATTAATGGATTCAGATACTGAACCGAAAATTGAATTCTCTTGTGATACAGAGCTTACAAACAGCTTTAACAAAATGCCATCGAGAGATTTTTGGCTATTCTGTCGTCAAAAGCATCCATTTTTGGCACAAAGGCAATAAAGTTTCTAATGCCTTTCGTTATATCTTTACAAATGTGAAGCAGTCTTCTCAACACTTGTTGTTCAAAAAATATACACAAAACCGTTTAGATGTTGAACCAGATTCAAGAATAAAGTTGTCTTCTTTTTTCCGTATACCTGAAAGTTCTAATTAACAAGAAAAAGCGTCACGCTTCCCATTAAAACTTTTTTTTATTGCTTTACATTTTTTATGTATTTTTATTACTTACACAATAATGGCAAAATATTTGTACATTGAAATATGTTTGATTTGCCAATAAACATATATATATATATATATAACAAAGCCTATAACTATTTTAACTGGGTCAGAAAGAATATTAAAGCAATCAGGTCACAAAAAGAAAAAAGAAAAGTTTGGGAAATCCTGGTCTGAAGTATTTATTTGTCCAGATAATGATAGACTGCAGCTTCTCTGAATGGTTAGCCATTTGAGCAGTATTTCTTTAATATCTATATAATCGATAACGCTCAGTGTTTTTCTAGTATCCAAATTTCCAGGATAAGAAATATAGAATCTCAATTTTTCGCATAGTACCAGCTTTAGTTATGGATAAACTGGAGTCCTGACAGATATCAGTTTGGCTAAATTTATTCTTCATTTTTGGAATAATGCTCTTCTTATTCTCAAAGCATAGAGCTGTAAATTTACAGCTTGCTATACGGAGGAATTTTTAACACTGAAACCTTTCATCATTACAGAGTGAAGTGTGATAGATTCAAGAATATGTGGAATTTCACCAATTGAAAACACTGGAAAAGCAAAAGAGAGAAAATTAGAAAACAAATAAATAAAGGGGAAAAGAGAAAAATCTGAAGCCTTCAGATTTTATATTGCGCTCAAAGGGGGCGTTTATTTAACGTTTCGTGTGTTACCTTTATTTATCATGTTCTTCGCACTTAAAACACATAAAATTAAATTCAACAGCAAAATCAAGGAATATTTAACAATAGTATATCTTTAGAATTTCCGATACACAGTCTCGGGGCTGGAGATAAAAATGTTTTTTTTTTTTCAGTACATAGGTGCCATTGCTCGTTTTGAAATCATTAAGTTTGTTAATAAAAATTAGTTAAAGTTTTACAAAATGTGAAATAAATAATAAAACAAATTCGTAATTCAAAATTCGGGGTTCCATGTTCGGTTGAAGGACTTCGCTATTCCAAATTTGATGGCTCTAGGTACCGTTGTTTTTTCACAATGCGAGAAACATTCATGCATTCATGCACATTCTTTATTATTTAGTTTCTTTAAGTAAAATACACGGCGATAATATTTGGTGGCAACAGTTTGAAAAATTATTCAACGCATAAAGTGAAACGACACAAAATAAATGCTAGACTAATAGCCCTTTGGGTCAATAATTTCGTCACTGATCTGCCCTATCGAACGTCATTCATTTTTTTGTTTTTCAAATACATGCATGTTTGCAAAACAGAGTTCAATAACCGTTGTAAAAAGTATTTTTTTAATACTTTTAAAATACTTTTAACCGTTGTTAAAAGTATTTTAAATCTTGGAAAAGATCTAAAAAAAGTAACCCCCCCTGTTTAAAACCCAAAAATTTAGACAGCGTTTTAAATACTGAAGTAAAGCAAACACATAAGAATAAACATTTTTTCACCTCTATACCTTTACTCTCATGAGAATATATTAATTCCTTTCTCTTTCTTTGAAATGCAAAAGTTCAAAATTTCCTGCATAGAATATAAACCTTAAACAACCTTTGATAACTAAGTCAAAGAACCTGAATGGAATTGGACAATCATTTTGTCTTTTTGCCTCAATGCTCATTGTGTGATATAATATAGTCTCCTAAGATACACTTACTTCGTGTCCTAGTTTTCAAGATTTGGGTATTACAGCTTCGCATAGCTTTAATGAAGAACGCACAGAACGTTGGGGAGTAAAGAAAAATGAAATAAGAAAAGTGCTTTTCAACTATTTTGATATCACATCACAGATGATTTTAAACGCTTGGAAGTTTGTTGCAGCCGCACAAAAATAACAATTATATTAATGTCAAAACAACAGTATACATTAATAATGGGCATGAAATTAGATGAAAAACCAAAACATGGGTTCAGAATATTCGGGGGTTCGTTATGAACTTGCTACAGCGGGATTTATCTGTAGTAATATAAATACGTGAAATTTCATTTTAGAACTATAAGACATATTATCATATCAGCACGATTTAAATTTCGTATAATCTCGGGAAATTACATCTTCATAATGATAAACGGATACCCCCTAGAAACTTCATACAATATCGTTTCTTTCCCAATAAATGTGATAGTCTGTAATCATCCAAGTCATGAAATGCTGATTTTTCTTTTTCTATAATATATATTATAGATAATTTCTATAATATTATAGAAATTATCTATCATATATAATTTTTATAATATCTATATATAATGTTTTAATAAAAAGAAATTATAAAAATTATATTTTTTTCTGTAATTTCTTTTTCTATATTATATTTATAATTATATTATATATATAATTCTAAATATATCTTTCTATAATGTATAATTTCTATATACAAGTTTACCTTAGGTTATTTTTAAATGAGATTTTAACATCACTGTACATTTCGCAAACTGAAGTCATAAATGTTAGCAACAGAGAAGGAATTCGCTCTCCTCTATAATTATCTTTTCTAGAAGATGAATTTGCTGGGAACAACATAGTTAAAAATAATTACTTAAGATTTCTGAAACTGGTTTGTTGTTCTAGGCAAAAACAAACCATCTTCCACATACTACGTGTCGGCCTTATCAATGAAAACAAAGATGAAGATGATGAAGAATTGGGTATCTATAGATCTAATCCTTCTATTGGTATTAGATTATCTAGTCGCTAAATATTTTTATAGTGCTTCAGGGAAAATTCCATCCGTGAACTGGTCTCCTAATAAAATCCTAAAAGATATTGGCGTAGCCAAAACTCCAAAGGATGGTAGGAGGGCATGGAATTTCTCCAAAAGAAACTGATTTTCCGCAGTTTTGATTATTTGAATCTGTGGCAAAAATAAAAAATGTGGCAATAAAAAATATTTTATTTTATATTTTTATTGCACTGATAATAATAAAATATTGATCTCATTTCACCATATGCATATCGTATTTTTCTTTAAAAAAATCTCACAGGCTTGCCGTCTAAGATTGCAATGATCGCCTTCGACTGGGCTTAAAGTCAGAATTCTCTTTTTCTTGACATTGGGTTCTAATGTCCATTTTGTATGACAAACCATTTACTTTTTTAGTTAAGAACACTAAAAAGCAAAATGGAATTTTAAGTACATTTTTTAAACAAAATTAACATATCGGCTTTTCAGCAATGTTTCCGCATTTAAAGTTTTCGTTTGTTTCTGAGATATAAATTCATTGATTTTTTAAACAAAATTATGTAGAAATGATTGCATATATCAAATACTGATGCGTCGCATTTACAGATCTCCGCAATATCCATATTAGCCATATTCATTAAAACGATTGTTGTTAGTTTTCTGATTAAGTTACATAAGATGGCTTGATGAATAATCAATACAATATGATGATTCTCTGAAAATACATTAGGCAGGAGCTGTTTGATGAAAGTGCTTTTAATTTGAACAATAAGCGTTTCGAAACCTAAGAGAGGGTTTGCAAAAACGTGTAGTTTGTAATTTAGAAACTCCTAAATAAGCCGATTCCACTATACAACAAATCTGAAAGAAGATTCTGGGAGAAAATTTAGTTAAAATGGCTTCCTCAATATATTAAATCGGGATACTGTTTGGATTAGAAAGTTATAATGATTTGCTCAAATCAAAAGAATAAATCTGGAAAAACACAGATAAATTCTCTTTTTAAAGCGGCAGGATGAAAAACATAGCGGGTGTTATGACTCCCTACAAAATATAAAAATGATAAAAGCAATTAATGATTCTTAGAGTGCTGATGAGATGTGAGACCAATCAGAAATGATTTATCTCAAAACTGAAGTACAACTAAGACACATGAGTGGCTTATCTTCATGTCAGTAAGCGCAAATGTTAGAAATTAGAAAAGTTTGAGAGTAGCAACTAGATTTTCCAAACATCTTTACATCTTTAAAAAAAGTGAAACAGGTTTCATATGAAAAGAAAATCTAAAGCATTCAATGATAGTTTATGGCGT